TCAGGGTCTAGGCCCGAAACGACAGCCTTCCTGCTCGGCCTGCTGTGTTCATCCAGCTTTACACCTTGTTATCCCATTTTTTATAGACAGCTTCACTATTAGACAGCAGCTCTAGTCAGTCTCTTCCTGAGGCTGACTTCCAAACTGCACTATGTGATGTCAAAGGGCATTAGTGAGGAGCACAGCGAGATCCCATGAACGGCAATATGGATAATGACCAGGTGATGTGTAAAATCCAGATGTGGATTCAGGGATTACTGCTGAACAGGACACCCATGTACAATGTATTAACAGGAGGTTGGTTTCAGAGAACTGACAGGACAACTTCCGATCAGAAAAACAGTGCAGTGCCTCCTTGGTATCGCACCAGCCTCCAGGCTGAGCTTTCTGCCTCAGACTGTCATGTTCACCCAGAGCCAGGACTCAGCCTTTTGCCCTTCTGAGGGGCAGGGGGTGCTGTCAGCAGGAGTGGTGATGAGCCAGAAACGCAAGGGTTCGGTCATTAGGGGCTGCTTACCAAAGTCGGCGATTTTGGCATTCATCTGGGCATCGAGCAGCACGTTCTCTGGCTTCAGGTCCCTGTGTACCACCATGTGTCGGTGACAGTAATCCACTGCCGAGATGATCTGCTGGAAGAGGCGCCTACTCTCCTTCTCATCGAGCTGTAGAGAACCAGCACAACCCACTATTAACATCCTCATCACCAACCCTCTCCCAAACCCCGAGAACCACTGTACCCCAAAACACCAGCCTTCCCTCAGCTAACACACAGGTCCTCAAAGGGTCAGCCCAGCTCAAGGCCAGCAATTTGGCCATGGAGGGCATCACTTAACCCAAGCAGACACACCATCCAACCGGGACAACTGCACAGTGCCCAGGAGCCAAAAAAAAAAACTCAAAGAGCTGCAGATGCTGGAAATCAGAAACCGCTGATAAATCTCAGTAGGTCTGGCAGCATCTGTGGAGAGATGTTTCGGGTTGAGTGACCCTTCTTTAGGGGGTCAGTAGCCACTCTGTCTGAGGGCAACTCCCCAGGCACCACAGTCTCTGTATATACTCCCCCCTCCCAGGTCAACTCCCCAGGCACCACAGTCTCTGTATATACTCCCCGCTCCCAGGTCAACTCCCCAGGCACCACAGTCTCTGT